ATTAGAATATTATCCATACAAACTGCAGCCGTCCAAGACTACCCCCAATAAATAATCTTTTATATGTTTTGGTGGTAATGCCCCAAACAATTTGATCAAAACTACTTAATCGGGTTAAAAATATAAAATATTTTTAACTTAATTATACCTCCCAATAAATTAGTTAAGGTTGTATTTGTATGGGTGGATTTAAGTTGAGAATTTGAATTTAAAATCTCACATTTAAAATTCATAAATTTTAAATTCTTTATTTAGATTATATAAAAAAATTTAAATTATAATATTAAAATCCTTTATTTGGATATAAAGAAAATTTTAAATTTTAAATTCTATATTTAAAATTAAAAGAAACTTAAATGACATCTGCAGTCTGTTCCTAGTCAAAATCAACTGTCCAAATGGCCAATTTTCACTAGGACTAGACTATCGATGCCAATTGGGACCGTAGCACTGGCAACAACTTGGACTGGATGGTTGACTTACTAAGATCAAACAGCCAATTTCCACTAGAGCCGGATTGATGGTGATGATGGAAATCAGATGATCAACTTTCACCGGGACTCAACTGATGACGAATATTAGGATCAAATGATCAACTTTCATTGAGACTGGATCGGCAGTAATGTCGGGATCGGACTACCGACTTCAACAAAGAGGCGATCGAGATTGGACTGTAGTTGTCGATCTGGATTGGATTGCCGCCTGCAACCAAGATTGAATAACTAACTCCCACCATGACTGGGTAAACGACTTTGATTGGGATCAGGCAAGCGACTTCAACCTAAAGCGACCCATTAACGATCTGATCATGGTCAGTGCCAACAGTCCAATCTCGATCACAAGAGATCTTCCGATTTCAATCATCACGGGCCACCTAGTCCCAATTAAAGTTGGCCATCCGATCTCAGTCATCGCCGTCGATTTGGTCCCGATAAAAGTCGGTTGTCCAGCTCCTGGTGGAAGCCAACCATCAGGTCCTGATCATCATTGTCTATCCAGTCTTGATAGAAGTCTGCCATCCAATCCCAATCATTGCTGTCAGTCTGATCCCAGTGAAAGTCAATTGTTCTGTCTCGGTCCTCGTCGGAGTGCAGTCCCAGTAGACGTTAGCCTAATGAAAGTTGAGGGCCTATCTGGATCTTCGCTGGTGGTCTAATCCTAGTAGAAGTTGTTTGTTTCGAGTCAATGCCTCCGGTCCAGTCTTGGTGGAAGTCAACTTTTAGTCTTGATTGTCAACTACATTCCGGTCCCTACCAGCATGAGTGGTTTGGTCCCAATGAAAGTTGGCCATTTGGTCTCGATTGGCACCAGTAATGCAATCTAGGTCGACAGCGGCAATCCGATCCCAATTGACGGTGGCAGCTTGATTTTGTTAGCTTCGATGGTCCAATCTTGTTACCATTTGTGGGCAAATCAAGCCTTCGTGGATTTAGGTTAAATTATCAAAGAGTTTAAGTTAAGATTTGAAATAATAAGGGTTTAAAAAGGATTTTAAAATACAAAGAGATTGAGGTAAAACTCAAATCCAAATCCATACATTTTTCCCAAACAGTGAATTTAACTCAAATTTAAATCCATATGTATCCAAATATAGTACAAATATCCTTCAACTAATATTATCTTTTCACATTTACTCTTATTTAATAAGGTATTTTACTTACAACAAATAAAAATAATTTATTTATTAAAAATATTTTTTAAAAATACATTAATTATATTTTAAAACACTAAAAATGCATTGTATTTTAAAGTCCAAACCTTCAAAAAATTATTTATATTTTTAACGGAGAAAGCATTTAACACCTTGTTACTGTATGAAAACCAAACTTGGCGACGCTAACTTGTCTCAAATAAAAGCATGTTTAAAATATTATTGGTTGGTTGGTTGGTTAGGTATTGAATTAAAAATATCAAAAACTTGCATAAAAATTTTATTTATAAAATCCTTTCATCTTTTTTTCCCTAAAAATCTATTCGATTAAAAAAAGACTAGAATAATTATTATTCAAATAATTACTTCTCTTGGCCAAAGTCATAATTGTCTAAAAATTAAACTTATATCCTTTTAATTCTCAGCGAGAGCCTTTCAACTTGAGACTTGGTAGTAGTACAACTGCCTATCTATATTGATATATTACAAAAGAAAAAAAAAAAAAAAAGCCATAGCAGCAGTGCTATTTATAACTATAAACAGTGTGTCTTCTCTCTAATTTACTATTCAAATGCCATATAAATATTGCAACTTTCATTAAATTTCACACAATTCGTTAATCCATTATCATCATTATCCATTCTCTTTACTTTTTAAAAATATTTTAATAGGGAAAAATCTAACTCTTTTCTTCAAAAGATTGATTGATTAAACCAATAGGTATTCATTCTAGTAAAAAGAATTTTGAGAGCTTAAGCACAAGTTTTTAAATTTAAATTTGTGTGAATGCAAAAATTATCTTTAGAAATACTCTCTCCGTTCAAAAATGTAAAATATTTTTTGAGAAGTCAGATGTTTTAAAATGTAAGATATTTTTAATCTTTTGAAATGCAATTATTGTCTTTTTAAAAAAAAATATCCCCATTAATAATAACTTTATATTTATTATAAAGTATTTTTTATGAATAAATATAAAAAAATAAAATTAATTTAAAAATAAATAATTATTTTATTAAAAATAAAATTTAATTAAAAATATTTTATATTTTTAAACAAAAAAAGTATTACTCTTCATGAAGTTTAAATAATAATGCTCATTCAATTAAATAGTTATATATATCCAGAAAAAATAAAAAGAAAAGAAAGACTGATTGATTAGCCCACAGCCCATGTCCCATCCAGATCCGTTGTGATTTGTGAAATCTATGAAAGGCATCCACAACCACGCTAACTTTGACCCGATCTTTCGCAATAAACTTCAAAATTATAAGCTTTTCTTTTTGACCAAATAAAATTATAAGCTTTTCAACCCTTAGTTGGAAAAAAAAAAAAGTGCAACAAGATCTTATCTCTTATAATATCAGCATTATTTCTTAATATTAATTTTTGGCACACAAGTTGGTGAATAATGGCCACAAAATCATTGTCTTTTAATTGATAGGTAAAAAAGAAAAGTAAAGAGCATTGAATTAAACAAGGATATCTCAGTGTGTTCCTGTTTCTTACTCCCTCTCTCCCGTTCTTATATATAAAATATTTTTAAAAAATTTATTTTATTTTTAAATATAAAAAGTGACAATAATATTTTTAAGTAAATAAATAATTTTATCCTTATCATAAAAAATAAAATAAATCATTAATTATATGTTTTCTCTACTACCATCACAATATTAATTATAATATTATTAGGGGTACCACTGAAAAATTATTGTGTATTTTGTGAATTTAATAAAATAACAAATCTTTATTAATATATGAGATTTAGTTAAAAACACCTTTATATAAGAACGGAGGGAGTATGTTCAATGAATTTGTACTAAATATCAGTTTATATTCATTATTAGCATATTATTATTAATATAACACTGGCAGAAAACAAATTTCAATGATGGAATACTCATTACTGGAAAAAGTAAAAATAAAAATAATATTTATTTTAATAAATTATTACCATTATATTTTATAATTATTAATCTAAAATACTCTTATAACATAAATAAAATACATTATAACTTTAGATAAAATATTAATTTCCAAATGTAACAATTAATTTTATAAATTTCAAGCCGTCATTATTTTCTCCAATATTTTTTAGGCAAAGGGCTTTGATTCCTTTTCCTTCCATTTATTTCCATTCTTCCATTTGTATAACATAAAACATCATTTAGAGAAGTATTCACTTCTCTTTTCTATGTGTACTCAACATCATTCTTCACCTATTTTTTGTCTCCCTTTCATAACCCTTTGGTCTTCGGAAAACAAGATTTGACTTAAAATTGCCCATTGTTAATTCCAAGATTTCTTTGAATTTAAAAGTTATTTCTCGCATAATTTCATTCAATCCCTTAAAATTCTTTTCAATATACTAAACATAACCGTAATTTTCCAAGATTCAAGTAGGACTATATCACAAAATAACTTCAAGGATCCGAGAAGGCATAATTGTTACTAGGGCTCTAATCATACAAGACTAATCAAAACAAGATGAGCAGAAACTGTAAGATAGACTGAAGACCTTGGGGTTTAGTGGTACCAAGTTGTGCCTTTGTGGCACTGGGTTCTGAGTTCGATCCCGTGCCTTTCCAAGCACTACATCTGCCGTTGAAAAAATAATAATAATAGTAAAAAGAAACTACAAGATAAAAATCAAGAGAGTTGGGTGAAGAATCAATTCAAAGGCTGAATGGCTGCTGCTTAAACCACAAGTAAATAATATAGGAGAAATGAGACTTAAAAGATTTAATTACTTGTCAAAATTCCAAGAAATTATCATTAGAAGACTCCTCATACGTGATTGGGAGAGATTATCTAAGATCATGCATTTAGATAAGCCAATAAATGTACTAAATAGCTTGTATATTATGTTCATAATATAAATATAGGATATGTTTGGTTTGTACTTTTGACACCGAAAAGTCCTTTCATGAAACCAGCTCTTGGAACAATGTTATTCGTATTTTTAACAAGCAGATCTGAAAATCCTTTTGACTTTTCAGTTTGGCGAATGAACTTCTAAAAGACGAACTTTTTGATCAACCAAAAAATCAAACACACACACAGAAATGATCATGTTAGAACTAGAACCTGAGTGCACAGATATTATGTGATATGATTTGACTAGGAGGCTTTTAGGTCCTATCATTTAAGTTTTTTGGGACTTTTTCTGGCTTTTGTCTTTCCTCTATATTCAAAAAACAAAATCAAGAGACGCGAGTGCAAAAACAATTCAGCATAATGCTCAATAGCTGCTGCTTAAATCAGAAGTAAATAACATACAGAGAAATGACACTTAAGGACCCATGACTTATATTATTGATAGCTAAGAACGTTAAAAGAAATTAAAATTCCCTTTTAGGATCACAAAAATAAGTTACCAGTTTGATTTACAACCTAGTCTTCCGAATGTTACAAGGGTGTATAGAAAAATTTACAAATCGTAATTTAAAGAACATGAGCGATAATCTTAAAATGCATCAAAGATAACTACTTTCTACAATTCTTAAAAGACATATTTTTTTAATCTTTGTCAATATTATAAATTCTGGGTTCTTCAACATCATTTTCCATACAACATAAGAATGGGATATACAGACAACTAAGAAACTTACAATCACTCAGGCAGGAGGGGCAGCCTGTCCACGCTGCAAGGGGAGCCTTTGACACTGCCATTGGGAGAGGCAAACTCATCAAGTCCTTCAACATCAGGATCAGAAGCTTCACTGTCTAATCTTTCTTCATCAATCCTATAATGGTTTGGAAGGATGCATAGATGTACGCCAGAATCTCCGGTGATTTTCCTTGCTTCTAGTTGGTACTTGTGTGCAAGTTCTAGCTGAAGTGATAATATGGCAGATGACCTTGGGAGGAGATCAACAGGTTCTCCTTTTGGGATTACAGTAAGCTCCATGGCCATTCTTGCCTCCTGAAAGAGTGACTCGACAATTAATGGCATGCATTTCTTTTCTCTTTTTCTTTTTAATTTAATTTGACAAGCATTCAATTTCAACAGTAGAAATATCATTCCAGCCTTCCTAGGTCTAGGCCTACCTGAAGATCTGAAATAAATCATGCAAATAAAACTTTCCCTTATTTCTCACTCTTTTTTGGAGGGGATTTTCAATTTCTACTTGTAGGTGTCACAATATGTTTTCATCAATGTATCAATCTACAAACATGTCCAGGCCCTCACACCCCTACAGACGCAATCAAACTATAATTGTGGGGAAACCAGAGTCTTCCCAAAGTCATATTTCGTCAGTAGCATCCACCAATAAGTGTTGTGTGATTACAGTGGAAAGGATCAGACTTCCCCAAGCTTTTATCATATATTGATCGTATAGAGAAGCCAATATTATCAAAGTAAAAGGGTATAAGAAATTAACAAATATCATTGCAGAGTTTGTACGGGAAAAAACATGCTTGATTAGCATCTTGAAAGAACCAGCAACAATGACAGTGCATGGTAGTCACTGGCTCGTTCCCATCTTTTCTGCCACTCAATTTCAAGTCTACCTGAACCACATTTGTTCCAGTACTGCCACCTCCACCATTAACAAAATTATAACAACTCTATAGCCAAGCTAACATCATTACTACTACCATCATGACTATCTCCCTCGCCGCATTATCATATTAAATCTTACATGTGCACAGTTAATGTTCTCCTAAAAACAAAGGAGAAACTACTCTTTACTTCACTCGTATCTAGTGACTCATTGGAGCAAAACGGGAAGTTTCATAATCGTTTACTGTTTCAATAATATGTAACAATTTTCAGCGCTAAATTTAGAGTACCATGTCAAAATTTCCATGATATATATTCACGTTTATACTATTTTGGTTCCCTCATGAAAAATCCATGTCTTTAAAGAAGTTCTTAATTCTAATAGCCATAAGTTTGTACAGTTCTCCTTAAGGCTTGACCTACAGAGGGAATTCAGAAAGATGAGCCAAGGCAACATGGTTAAGGGGGGGAAAAACCCAATGGATTTGGTCTCTAGATATTTGCACTCTTGTTTCCCACTCTATGTCATCATTTCTAGAACTCGATTTTAGGGTTTCAGCAACATATATCTCACAGCCTAACAATTTTGAGCATGAATTACTACTCCCCCTATGAAACATAAAACCACATTAGGCACCACAGAAAAAGACAAAAAGAAATGAAACCTGCAACCACAGAAGTCAGATGGAATGGCTGAAAGAAAACTACAGTATAAATATTACCTCCAAGGCATCAACCTTCTCTGACACTTTTATGTTCTCTATAGATCCAACCACCTTTAAACCATCTTCATAGTCACTTACTAGTGCTCATATAGCTTTTTCTACTTGCACCAATGAACTTGTCTAGAAAGTAAACACATAGACCATGGCATAAATTTACGACAGAATAATTATTCAACTAAAAATTTAATTTAAAAAACATATTAGGGAAAACATAACTTTGGGTCTAACTTTGCTATAAGTTATTACAATTTTGTTTTTCAGTGTTCTAAGCCCCTCAGACCTAGAACACTAGAAAAAAAGTACAAGGACCTACAGTAAAACTCAAGCAAAGTGTAGAGACCTAAAATTATATTTTTTCCAATATATTACCTTAGTTACATAAATGGGTATATCATGAGATTTAGCAGCAGCTTGGATCCGTGGATTCTTCTTAAGCTTCGATTGCAAGGCAAGTAACGCATTGTCTCACTGATATTATCAGTCAATTGAAGGGCCATATCATTCATTCTCAGCTGTTTAATTGCTTGCATAATTGTTGCCTCCAGAATCTAGAATTACTGCTCATTCTGTAAGTTAAATAGCCAATACAAAGTACTGAAAAGAAGAGTACCCTAATTATGCTTTGATTGATAACAAGTTGTAAACAGAATGCTGGATAGCGCTCTAGGAGAAATAGATCTACAGTAAATAAAGTTTATCTAATTGCAATTAATATTCAATAAACAATTGAAAGAATAGCCACAAAGAGCAGGGTCTGTCTGGGAGAAAATGAAAGGGAGGGAAGGGAAAGGGAAAGCATTATGCTTTTGGTAAGCTCCTCCCTCACTTGCTGTGGGCGTGTAAGAACATACTGTTTTCTTTTTTTTTCTTTATTTCTTTTTTTTTTTTGGGGGGGGGGCCTGACATGTAAGAGCATGCTCTATGAAATTTGGGAGATTTAAAGAACTGCATATTTCTACTGTTCTATTTTTTTTTTCCGTCTCTTGAGAAAGTTAAAATGATTAAATTTCACACAAAACAGACTCAGACTAAATATCCAACGGGCCTATGGTGTTGTTAATGCTAAGCATAAAATTATACAAAGAGTTGAAGGTAACTGTCACATTAATGACATCAATCCTCATGCGAGAAGAAATAGGTTGACACTTCTCTCATCCACATTCTTCCCTTTCAATCCTAAATCCTAAAACTTACAGTGTTTAGCTAGAACCATAGCATGGTTTATTAGAAATAAGACAATTACAATGTTAATCTGATGTACAGCGTTTGGCTAGAAAACATAGTATAGCATATTATAGTGTTGATATTCAATGGATATATGGTGTCTTTAATGCTTTTTGGAGGTAGGTGGTTCAACAGGGAAGTGAAAATAAGAAGATGCGTTGCTGGTGCCAAAATGAAAGCATTTCAGTCCATTTTCCTGAGGTAAAATTAATTTTGTTAATTTTATGGTCTTTGCAACTCATATTCGTCAATATCTTTGTCATCTGACCCTAAATGCAATTTTCTTTATAGTGTAAATAAAGCTTCAGCTGCCTTATATGAGATCATAACTCAACAAAGTAAAGAAAGGGAAAAAACAGAGCGAAAGGAAAGGAGAGAAAACCAAATAAATCATCTATCTTGGTGGTCTTACAAATTTTTATTCATCAAAACTGGTGAGTAATGGCATCTTACCCCGTAACAAAAAAGGCGAAATGGTAATCCATGTTGCCATGAATTCTCAACCATGTCAACAGGCAACCGAGAAAGTGTTTCATTTTGCCGGGTTTGGTCGCCAGACATTTCTGGACCATCTTCAAGCATAAGTTCATCATTCTTTTCAGAACTGTTTGTAACAGGTTCGTGCATGGTTTCTTCCTGTTCCTGAGAATCCATCTTGCGGATGTCCACATGTGGAAAGCGACCTTCACCAAGAAGCCAAACAGTTTAATAACAAACAATATACTAGGACAACTTAATCTGCCAAGGAAGGGTTTTACCTGAAAGAATAGCATCTACAGTTGCTTCAAGGCTACGGTGAATCCGCAACTCTGTCTTCGAAATTATCTCAACTGCACAACTGAATGTTGATGGACCTTTTCTCTCCAGTACAGTCTTCTGAAGACCCCTGCGGCTGGCCTCTTCATCCCCCAGCGTCACACTCTAGAAAATAATAGTAGCTCTAATGTAACCAAGGGACAAAAAAAATTACAAAGTCTGATTGTCATATAAAAGATTCAAAAAGAGGATAAGAAAATGATAGGGTATCAAACAAATTGGGTCGGCTAAAACTGTTATAACACTATAAAAAGCATCATAATAAACAATTTATAATTTTTCTCAATATAAAATTCTCTTCAGTCTGGCACTTAATCTATAATCTAAAAAATTAGCATTAATTTATCAAATGGCCTTCGGCTCCAATGGCACCTGTTAAGAAAAGAAATCTGGACTGTGACATAGTAGATTTATTTACGCACAAAGTATGGTCTTAGTTACTATTAAACTTGACTAGTATATTGACGATTATTCCTCTATCTCCTCCACTTTCAGCCTAGCATCAGCCAATAAGCTTCCTAGCATGACAGTCCTTGTCAGCCTACTGATAGTGATGTGCCTCTAGACATCATCAAACACAACTTTTAGCGAATTAATGTTTATTCAGGCATTATAACAGACGGCAAACTGATAGCCTTACCAAACAGGCCTTGCCAGTGCCTGAATCATTTAGATCATAAACAAGTTGAAGTACTAAATATAGAAGGTAAAAACTATCCAATAATTTAATTTGGCGTCTCACTTCAAACAAAGGAAGTTCACCTGTATTCCTCCAACAAGCATCTCTAATGAGGGATTCATTATCAAATTCTCAATTGTGACTCCATGAGCTATAGCAACAAGCTGGATCCCTCGTTGTGCTATTGTACTTGCAGCCATTGCTTCAAGTTTTGTACCAATTTCATCAATTACAATTACTTGCGGCATGTGATTTTCTACTGCTTCTATCAACACCTGAACAATGAAATACCAGAAACATGTGTTAAAAATTTTGTAAGAAAACACAGACATGAGAATCCTTGGATAAAATCATCTATAATCATGGGGATCCTGTTTAGAATATCCACCCCAGAAAAGGAAAAAGAAAATCTCAACCAAAACTCAACCTCAGCCACCTAAAAAATCTCGTCCGGGAAGTTGTAACAAAAATAAGAAGGAAAAACAACACTATGGGGAGAAAACAAAAACAAAAGACTCCCAACATATTAGATAAGAGCAACTGAATTACGGAATACATCTTACATAAAAGGGACAGTCCTGGAAACCTGTTGAGCTAATATTTTAGCGAACACAGCAATAACATTTCATTCCATACTATTTTTAAGAATGTTTGCTGAAAAACGATGCTCCAACCCTTCACTAAATTATAATGCCAACCTGGATGTGTCAATTATTCTCAAGCAGTGTTGATAAAACAGATACATTTTCCACATTACTGAACAACCAAGACTCAAGAACCTTTGGTTAAAGCCAATAATACCTTATGTTGCATTTCAGAGTCAGGAACTTGCATCCGACGAGCACTACCAATTCCTGCATGAGGCATATCACCATCACCACCAATCTCATTGGAGGTGTCAACAATCATCACACGCTTCCTGTAATCATTTGCCAACATCCGGGCAATTTCCCTGCATGGAGTGAAATACACATTGAGTTCAAGTGAAAGGGGGGGAAAAAGAGCTGCTAACAAGGAAAAAAAAAAAATCAGTAACTGTTCAATCAAATTAAAATGAGCGTGCATGCCACCAGCTGCCTATTTTTTATTACTTAGAACTATAACCAATTCCTCGGACATGGAATGACAAAGGAATCACTAACCTAGTGATCGTAGTTTTTCCCACTCCTGGAGGCCCAATGAGCAACAAAGAGGCCCCATCTTGAACCAAGTCTCTCAACAACTTAGCACTGCCTGATATTACCCTGCCAACTCGACAAGTAAGACCAATAATTGCACCTTTCCGATTTCTGATGGCACTAATTCGATGTAATGTCCTGCTGATTCCTGCTCGATTATCAACAGCAAAGTCCCCAACCTAAAAGAGATGGTCCCAGTGAATTCACAGTTAACATATCTATATCTTGTTATGAACAATGTTAGGTTATAGTACAAGACATTTCCCAAGAATGACAGGCCAAATCAAATGACACTACCTTCTCCAGCTAAAACTTAATTACAAAATTAAATTGCTACCTGGATTACAAGACGTATCAAAAAAACTCAGACTAAAATAAAATTATTAAATTCTGTCAAAACTGATATTAAGGGACTATTTCCTAACAATTTTCACGACGGACACTGGATTAGTATAAAAATAGGAATGTGTGAAAAGTTACACGAGGATGATGTGCCTTCACCTTCATGAAATTGATTTTAACTAAGACTTAAGTATTCAGTTCTATTGTAAGTCAAAACTCATGAGAGGTATTATATTATACTCCCCCGTTTAAAAATCTAAGAGATTTTACCACTCAATAAAATAATTACCTACCTTCAAATTAACTATATCTTTTCATATTTACTCTTATTAAACACCCTCTAATAAATATAAAGTCACTGTCACTAGAAGCACTTAAAAAAAAAAAGCAATAATTACACCTCAAAAGACTAAAAATACTTTATATTTTTAAACATCCAACTCTTTAAAAAATGTCTTATATTTTTTAACAAAACAGTAATATATTTTAAAACAAGTGCACACTTATGATTTGATTTTAGAAAATGTCATTTCACCTTCATAGCGATAACAATATTTTTTTCAGACAATTCATCGAACAGGTAGTGCGCATTGTTTTCTGTACCTGGGAGGTTGCATGCTCAATATCCTGAACCGTTATAGGATAGTCCGAGATCACAAAATCTCCGGAGGGAAATCTAGCGAGAGGCTTCCTTCCCAAATCCATGACTACTTCAATCAATTGAAGTAGCTCAGGGTGCTCACTGACCCTTTGCCGCATTTCTTCCGGCAACAGCGCCAACAGACGGCCCAATTCAACATCGAAATCATCATCGGGCGAAAAGCAAACCGATATATTTGACGCCAGTAAACGTCTTGGGAACCCAGAAACGTTTGGGGACAAAACTTGAGGCAAAGAAGCAAACTCTAAGCATCGATTGTGAAAGTAGAAAGCTTTGGATGTGAGCTTCGGAAACAGAGTGGGTGGTGGTGAGATTAAGGAACGTTGACGGTGAAATGACGGTAACCCAAGCATCCGTAGTGGCGGGAAGGGAGGCTTGCTTGCTCCTGGAAATCAAAAGAAAATGTTTCCTTTCCAAGTGGGACGAAGCAAATCTTGGAGCGAATGAAATTGAAATCAAAGAATTTCTGGACTCTCTCTGTTTGCGTGTTTTAGTGTCCAATAATGTCCGTCCAGCCTTCGAATATCCTCCGATACTGATTTCTAAATTTTCAATCTCTCGCTTTGCAGACATTTTGCATATGGAGAATTTAAGTTAAGTAACACTGTAAACATTTAACCTCAGGTAAGTTTAAAAAAATCTTAAAATTTCAAAGCAATATAGAAAAAAAAAAGTTAAAAACATTTCTATAATAAAAAAATTAAAATACTCTTCACTTATTATATAAAATTATTTATTATTAATTTTTTTATTTCACTTATTAATTTATATATATAAGTTGCAAATTACGTAAATTGATATATTAATAATTATATAAAACTTAACATTATTTTTTCAATAATGAGTAGCAATATCAGTTATTAAATTATTAACTTTATTTATTAATTTACTAACATCAATTATAAATTATTAATAGGTTTAAGTAAATTAATAATTAATATTACTACTGATTGTCTGATAAACGAATATAATTTATAAGTAATATTAATAAATTAATAAGTACAATAAAAAAATTAATAACTAATGATTTTATATAATAAGTGAAATGTATTTAATCTTTTCATCTACGAAATTCTTTTAATTTTTCTTCCATAAATTAAATTGAACTAAAATTTTAAATTTTTTTTTAAACTCACTTAAACTATTCTCTCTCTTAGGTTGTTTGGTTTAGAGTAAGGGAGGGGAGGGTTTTATCTTCAATGCATTAAATGAATAAAAAAAAGCCTACTTGATTCATGAAATTTTTTTAGAGAAATGACATTAAAGGCTTCAAAAAAAATTTATTATAATTTGAGTCTAAATAAATTTGATATTGTTTTGTAGGCCTTAAGGCCCTTCTTCACATCAAAAATATAATTTTTTAGATATTTAAATCATTTTAAAATAACTTGTTAATTTTTATATTGTATATTATTTATTTACTTATAAATTATTGTTAATTGCCTTACTTCACTTATTTATTGCCAGATTTTCACTTAATTTCATTTCAGGGAATAAATAAGTAAAATAGAAAAATTAACAATATTTGATAAATAAATGAACAATTAAAGTAGGGAAATCTTGATATTAATTTAAATGAAGGGTAATTTTATCATTTTTTTAAAAAATTTAATATTAAATTAGTACCCCTAAACTATAGTGAAATTTTAAAAATTTAAAGACTTTCAATGTAATTAAATATGGACAAGGGTCCTTTACTAAAATTTTCTCTTTAAAATTTACTCCTCATGCTAGTTATGACATGAAGCTAATTAATTTGATAGTTTTTAAAGAATGGTAGTTAATATTCTTAATTAAACTTGTAAAAAAACTGTTTGATTTTTTTTATTTTTACCCTTCACTATAATTAATTATCACAATAAAGTATGTCTAGTAATTAAAAGTTTGCCAACAACTTGGTGTAATTAAAGAGAGATGAGGGGAAAAAAACTAACTATCCCATCTTTACATCTTTACCTACTATTTATGATTAAATTGAATTTTAAAACTTCATCCTATAATTATGATGGTAAGGAATAGGTTGCTATAAGAGAGAAGCTCTATTAAATACTCCTCCTAGACTATATATAAGTTATTATTTAAAAATTTTGCTTAATTTAAAATATAAATCATCGAATAAGACACATGCGCGCACAGATATATTTCAATTTTAATTACACTCTTACTTTATAGAGTGATACTACTATTGAATAATATCAAAATTAATAAAAACTAAATTTTATAATAAAGTACAATCTAGTTTGTCTTTATAAGAGTCAATAAATTAATTATTTGAATTAGTAGGGAGGCTTTATGAAGAAATTAATTCAAAAAACAAAATTAAAATTAAATAAGTAAAGTAAGTTCAACTAAAAAAATTAATATATAATTTCTATTTTTAAAATTATTTTTTATTTCATTCTTTTTAATCATGTGTACCAAAAATTCTGGTAAATGTGGTGAAGATAAATGCTAATAAAGCCTATCTTTGTCATAGTGCATGAATTTTCATTGAAACCTCTTCTCCGTCGGAGAGTTGCTAACAAGAGGAAGAGGATAATGAAAGACTGGCAAAGACAAACTAGCGTACGTTCATGATGCAAATGGCGTCTGTAAAATTCTCTAATTAAATCTTGATTAATTTTCTACTTAATGCATGGTGTTAATATATGTGTATGTATGTATGTATGTATGTATGTATGTATGTATCGACTTGATAATGTTTAAATTTAATTTAGTCATGTAGATGTATTGAAAAAAAAAATTCAAGTTCTCCAAACATAGATAATGTGTTTCCATAAATCATAAATGCACAACTCTCTATTACTATTATTTTCATCATACTTGTATTAGGCTGCATTCATATGTGTTAAATAAATTACAAAATAATAATAACAACAATAAACCTTATCCTATTAAATGAAGTCAACTACATTAATTATATAATGCCATTGCGCTCATTGATGGATCTAGAAACATTAGCTCGTGGGGGCAAAATTTGTACATAAGATTAATATTAATATTAATATTATTAGTAAATTTATTATAATTTTTATTAAATTATATTAAATATCCAATTTTAGTAAATTGGATATTTTACTAAAATTGGATATTTAATATAATTGAGTTCAACTGATAAGAACTTAGTTCATGATGTTTTAAGATTTGTCTCATCTAAAATTTTCTTTGCCAATAAGATTTAATTCTTTTGTATGGTATTTTTTTTTTATAAAATTTTCAATTTAAAAATACAATCAGAGAAAATTATTCTTTTAAATTATTGCTCCCTTCTTTTTAAAATTCTTTCTATTTAAGGTTAAAACACATAAATAAGACCTAGGTCAAATAAACTTCTTAGGAAATTAGTGAAATTTTTTATGGTACCACATGAATTTTTTTTCCCTTTTCTGAGTAGCCAGGGCAATTGAAATTTTTGAATTGAAGGCAAATAAAATATTTAAAATCACTATACAAGTAGATTTGCCCCTAATTTTGCTATATCATTTATCAAACTGTTCTATGTTAATTAAAATGTCTTGATCAATAATTTTTAAAAGTTTTCTCTTTGATCTTCTTCTACCCCTCCTCTTAATAAGGGTCAAAGTTATCTATTTCACTCTCCTCACAAGTGAGACACTGTAGTCTTTTGCACATGTCCGAATCATTTTAAATAATTTTCTACTATTTTGTCTTTAATAGGTGCAACGTTCACTTTTCCCCGTATGCACTTATTTCAAATTATATCTTTACGTGTATATTTGTACATCCATTTCAATATTCTTATCCTTGTTACTTCAACTTTATGATTTTGCTATCCCGTTAAAACCCAACATTCACTATTATATAATATTGCTGGTGTTATAACAATTTGATAAAACTTCCTTTTAAATTTACTAGTTACCTTGCGATTGCAAATAACTCATTTAATATTTTTTCAATTAAACCATTCAGTTTGTATTCTATGTGTAATATCTCCATTAATTTTTCCATTATGTTAAATAATAGCTCTTAAATATTTGAACTTTTTTATTTGAGATATAATCTAATCACCTAATTTTACTTTCAAATTACTACTCATTGATCTTTTATTAAAATTACAATGTAAATATTTTATTTTAATTTGTAATTATTCCTACTCAGGTAAAAATCTTTTAACTCCAATATTCTCTTCCATAACTCAAGTGAAAATTATCAATGGGGTTTGATATGGTGAAAAGCGTTAATTATCAACTGGTTTTCATTTGTGAGAAGTGTTAATCCCTATAACATAGCGAACTAAAATTTAAATTGATGCAAAGAAGTGCTTACAATGACAGTGTATTAAATAAATTACCTTTAGTAGAAGAATAATACCAATAGGTAACAAAAAATATTAAATTAGCCGACCAAACCTATTCATTTTACATCGTCCTGTGTCCAATCCAAAATGTTTATATATTTATAGCATACATTATGATTAAGTTAAGTAAACAATAGAAACCCTAATTAAAATCGTTTTGTACCTCAGCCGCTAGCTTTTTCAGATACGCATCAGAGCGTGTCGTTTACTCGTTATGGCTTCTCCACGACAAATCATGTGGCCACGCCACACAAGTTGTTCACTCCAACCATTAATGTCGTCTCTGCATCACTGGAACGCATGTGTCGTTTGGCTCATTCAGTTTCACTAAGCATTTCTTTAAGCTTTGGTCAAAAAAAAAAAAAGCATTTCTTTAAGCCACGGAATCACTTACTCATATATATATATAAGTGATTAATTTAACCAACAAACATTACTTCAATTGTCAAGAATTTGACTAATAATTTACAAGATTGTGGGATTAAATTTTATTATTGATATGAGAATTTTGTTGATAAATGATTTATTATTATTTTTGTAATTGTTTTGGCAAGTCCTTGGAACCTAACTTGCCAAAACTTTTTTTTTATCCTTTTTCAATTAAAAAAAGTGATTGAGTTGAACAAATTTTTTTGAACTACATTCAGGAAAACATTCTTTCGTGGTGGACGTTTTGAGTGATTAAATAATTGTTTGATCAGTTTCCCTTTGAAACGATCTATATGGTAACTCCTTTACAATATGTATATAAATATATATAATCTGTCAACCCACTTATCTTCACAATCTACTTAATTTTAATAAAAAAAGAATAATTAGGGGCAGCACAAAATAATCATATAGAAATGGAATTCTTTTGGTTGGGTAGTTAATGAGGTTATCCGAATCACAATATAAACGTTCATTAAGGTATCCGCACATGGGACCGGATCGGACAGCTACTGTTATAATATTTTCTCACACCGCCGACATGGAATGTAACAACTACTCAAAGCAACAAAGTCGGCGCCAAAAGAAAAAAAATGAAAGGAGAGAGGTTAGTTATTACTCATGAGTTTTTTCCTATTAAAAACAATATTGTTTGATGGTTTGACACTTATCCTAATGAGAATTTAAATATCAGTCTGAACTAACATCTTCTAAACTCAAATCCTATTAGTATAGATAAGTTTTTGATGGAATCTTAATTAATTACATTATTTTTGTTGTTTTAAAATATATA